TAATATATATTTATATTATATATATGTGTGTATATATATATGTGTGTGTGTGTGTGTATGTATAGCATGTGTACTTGCTTGCTGGAGGGAGACAGAGAGAGAGAGAGAGAGTGAGAAAACACCCCCTAGGGATAGCCACACAATTCCTTCTTCATTCTCTTGAAATTTTGGTTGTGCACATGCATATGCCTGGTGTACTTTTCAAGCTGCAGGGTCTGGGACTCTAACTGCAAAATCAGTTATGTGGGACTCAGCAGCCTTAACTGCTACACCATCACCTGGTTCCTCCTACCCCACCTCACCCCACCCCCACCCTTTTTAAAAAAAGCTAGGACATATAGGACCAGCAGATGGCATAATGGTTATGTTGCAGGACTCCATGTAGTTGACCACAGTTGAAGTCCTAAAATTGGTGGCTTAAAACTCTTGCTGGGCATGTGTGTGTGCATGTCCAAAATCCCAATAAGAGAAGGGATTGTGGTGCAACCATCCTCCCAGGGGGTGATTTCTTGCTTTCTGTCTCTATCTCTCTGGCAAGCATACAAGTTCTATAGCAAAAATCTCTCTTAAAAGACAAAAACTAATACAAAAAAGCTGGGACATAGAAATTCACAATTGTTCCTATTAGCTCATGTTCTTTAAGATTCCAGTGTTAACTGCCAAGTGGACAGAATTGCAGTAGTAGGACTATTTAAGATTCATCTCTCCCACTGAAATATTTCTTTTTACTTTTTGTCTTAGGTTTTTGTCATAGGGCATGTCCACTTGCTGTAGAGACAGAGACAGTGAGAGGGAAAGTGAGAAGTAACCCCCCCAGGGGGTGGGGCTATACCACAACACCTTCTCCTCTGTTCTCCTGGGATTTTGTGCATGCACGCACACACGCCCAGCATGATTTTTAAGCCACCAAGTCTGGGACTTGAACTGTGATCAGTCAGGTGGGAGTCCAATGCCTTAACCACCACACCACCTGCTGGCTCTCAAAATATTGTTTTTAACTACTAGGGATCTTTTGTGTAAACATGAAGACATGTGTGCCAGATGTTGGATACACAATGTTAGTGGTGGATAAGGATTGGTGGATAAGGATAGATTTCTGGGGGCTGGGCAGTGACTCAGTAAATTGTGATGTTCTGTGAGGCAGACCTAAGTGGGAAGATTGTGAGTTTGCGTCTGGAGTTCTTGAGTACACCTGGCACATATATATGTCCATGATCTGGTCTCGCTAAAGCTGGGGATGTAGCTGAGTGACAAGACCCTTTTAAGAATGCTGTATTTCTGTCTGCCTTCTGTTATGCAATAAATAAATAAGCTTGATAAGCCATCAATGGTAATACCAATGTTAAAAAAGTTGCTTTCTATTCTGAATTTGATGTAATTATATTAAGTCCAAATATAACAATGTTTTCTTCAAGGTTTAGGATAGTGGAAGACAATTATATTTCTAAGAATAGTAAACTATTAGTAGGAACATAAAATTTGTTCTCTTTATACTTAGGATAGATGACGTCTTTTCATCCTTTAGGTCTCAGATTAAATATAATTGGCAAGACTTCAGTCTCTAACTCATGTGAGTGCCCCTGTCATTCTCTATGTCCCTTGTTTGTTGATCTTTCTTAGGACTTTCCATCTATACTTATTGGTTTATATGCTTCTGGTGTGTCACTCATTAGACTATAAGCTCTTTGGAAACAGGGTCCATATTGGTTCAGTTATAACCTTCATGCCCAGCATAAAGTCTAGTACAAGAACACACCTAAATTTGCTGAAAGAATGAAATTCATGACTTTTTTCAGAAAAGCACTATTTGAAAAAACATAATTTTAAAAATATGTACCTTTTCTCTTTCCAGTTTAATATATAAACTGAAGTATCGATTTTTGAGAATCCTTACTGTTGGATAACATTTAAAGCTTGGGACCAGGGACCAGTAAATGACTAATGGTTATGTCCCTGGACTCCCAGGTAGTCAACTGTAGTTTGAGTTCAGTAGCGTAAACCTGACACCAGGCTCAGTAGGTGCAGTGCCCAAGACCTTGAGAGGAGAATGGAGGAAAAGGGATTGCTGAGTGGCCATTCCCCTAGGGAGTGATTTCTCCCTTTCTGTCTCTTTCTGCGGAGCGCAACATCCTATAGCAAAATTCTTCATCAAAAACAAACACTTGGGGCCAGCAGGTGGCGAGGTGGTTGGGGCACTGGACTCTGACTTGGTCGACCTTTGTTAGAAGTTATGCCCTATAATAAATTAAATAATGATAAAAAATTAAAAAGTATTTCAAAACTTTCTCTTGGTGTTATATGGAACTCCAGATTTACAGAATAATTAAAAAACTCTCACCTATGCACTATTCACATTTGCCCGTCTTCGTCCTATAATGTGAACCACCCACCCACCCACACACACACTTAAAAGTTTGGCAGCTTGGTCTGAATTTACAAGTTCCTAAGTATATAACTGGGAAAGAAGAGTGTCAGGATGCTCTATTTCAAAACTTAATTTTAAAGAACCAAGCAAACAAAATCGACCTGCATTTCTGCTAAGAATTCATCCCAAGAGGCGAGCTCCCTTCTGGCCTCTCTGGCCACGTAGACTGGCTGCCCCTGGAGTCCTGGACACTGCCCTCCTGTCCCGATTTTGGGTAAGGGTTACTTTCCGATTGGTAGGCACGCGCAGGACTGTGGACTTGGGGTGGGGGGGAGGTGTGCGTTTGGGGCGTAGCTGAGCCATTTAAAACAGCGAATCCGCGTTAACCTAGTCCTTCCACCTCTGACTTTTCTAGGCAGATGTTCCACGGCTTTGCTCGAACCCCGGAGTCTTGACTTTTCTCTTCTCCTCTCCCGGCTGCTCAGACAACTCCTGACGGTCACTTCTTCCAGGAGGGGCGAGGATGAAGTTAGAACATCTGAACTGGAGCAGAGCACGGAAAGGCGGTGGCGGGGACGAGGGAGCTTCCTAGCGCCGGAGACGGAGGCAACTCGTCCTCGCGCGAAAGGGGCGGGCAGCCTCGGGCCGTTCGCATTTCCTGTGACAGGGGCTGCCCCAGCCTCCGCCTCTCCCGCGGCGGCGGGACCATTTCCTGAATCGCTGAAGCGGAGGGAGGACTGGGGTGCGGCCCTACCATTAGCGCGAAGGGAGGGGGAGTATGATAAGGAAAGGTTGAGGGACGCGAAGACCGCCAAGAACAAAGCAGTTCTGCCAAGTCCGCGGTTCCGTAGAGCGGCGCAGAAACGAGACTCCGATGGGCCAGAGCTCCTCCCGGAGGCCGGGCCGGCCGGCTGTTTGCTCGGCGCCGGAGCATCCCCCCTCCTGGCAGTCGCGACGTGGTTCAGCCCGGGAGGCCGGCGTCTTTCCCCCAGTTTGCCGTTCACCCGGAGCGCTCGGGACTTGCAGATAGTGGTGACGGCGGCAACATGTCCGTGGCGTTCGCAGCCCCGAGGCAGCG